CGCGCCTGTCCTGGGGCCTGGGGAGCCCTTTCCAGCCCCTCGCGCTTCTCTGCGATGCCCCATGTCAGCGGCCCGGCTGATCTGCCCGCCACACCAGTGCTCGAGGTGGCACAGAGAAGATCGCGGGACCTCCCCCCCACCTTCTCCTCCGTCACTACCCCCTTCTCTCGTCGCTGGGCAGGTCCTCGGGCACTACTGGCGCAGCGCAAGAGGCTAGTCTTGGCCGCGTCCCCCGGCCTCCCGCACCAGCACTGCTGTCCGCCGTGGGAGGGGGTGCTGGCTGAGGCAACGGGGTCTCTGTGTACTCCGCGGGGAGCAGGGGGGAGGGTGGGGTGGGCGCAACGGGGTTGGAGGCAGGGACAGGTGAGACTGCGGGGATGAGCCGCTGAGGACCAGGCAGGGGTCCTGCGCGGGTCCCAGCAGGGATGCCGCGGGGATCCCTGCAGGGTGAGAGGGGGCGTCAGCAGGGTGTGCTGCCGGGGCCTGTCGGGGAGACTGAGGGTTGCGGGTCCGGGAAGCGCGCACGGGGGTCGAGAACCGCGTGGGACAAGCCGGGACCAAGCCTCTCGCCTCGCCTCCCGCCCCCGCCCCACGGGCCGCAGCCCCCCGCGGTTTCTGGGGCCGCCTCCCGCCCCCCAGCCCGGGTCCTGCCGACCCCCGCCCGGCCCTCCCCAGTGCACTGGCGGCCTCTTTCCCCAGCTGGCGAGCGCAGCGCTGCACACAGGGGCTCTGCCTGCGTGAGCTGCTTATTTTGTGCAAGTTTGCGGGGGTCCGGGGCGCGGGGTGCCCCGCAGCAGGCGGCGGCCGGGACCGTTCGAGGTCTCGTCCACCTGTGTGGCATCAGTCGGCCAGCTGGGGAGGCTGGCGGGTGGGGGACACGAACATCCATCCCCCCCCCAGTTTTTCCGCAGTGGCAGACCCAGAACCCCCCTGGGGACTCCGCTCAGTGCAGACGGCTGGACCCTCTCCACCACCCTGCGCCTCGACCCGGGGTGCAAGCCCAGCTCCCAGCCTGATGTCAGTGCATGCGGCGCTTCTGACCCGGGTCCCGGCTGGCCGGAGTGGACAGCACTTGGCCCAGGGCGCGGACTGGCTGCTGGCTCCCAGGAGACCCCAGCAGAACGCCGGGGCGCGGCCGCCCCGGGTGGGCAGAGACGCCGAAGCACATTAGTGAGCTGGTCAAGCTTTTAAGGCCTTCTCGGGAGAGCGGGGCCGGCTAATGAGAGGTTAATTTTGTTTTCCAGGGCCGGCTGCGCTGGCTTCCTGAGAAGATAAATGCACAGGAAGCGCATTGCCCCCGCGCGCTGGCAGGCGGCCCCCCAATGCGTTCTGCACCACCTGCCGCTTTGGGCGGCGCCGCGGTGGTGGCGCGGACCCCCCACCCTCAGCCCCGCTCGCCGAGTCTCTGTCCGGCAGGGTGCGCCCGGCCCAAGTGGCCCTTCCCCCGGGGCTCTCCTCTGGCACCCAGGTCCTTGGCTGTCCGCCGATCGGGGGCCCCCGGCCAAAGCGGAAAGGTTAAGGATGATGTAAGCACGAGGCCCTAGACGTCTCCGTTAGGGGTCGGGCCCTCGCGCGGACCGGGGGGGGGGGGGGGGGGGGGGGGAGCCGGGAACGCCTCTCTCCGACGGGGCGCACGACCTCGCTGCTCCAGCTGCAGGAACTGCAGGAACTGAGCTTGAGGAACTGCAGGAACTGAGCTTGAGGAACTCTAGGTTCACGCTGGCGAGTAGCTAAGGCGTCCGGTGCATGGGGCGAGGAAAGGATGCGCGTTCTGTTCAGCATCCGACCGTGCTGAAGGCGAGGTCCGGCATTCGAAGGCGAGGCCTGGCTGGCTCCCTTGGATTCACTGCCCTGCCTCATCTTAGCCTTAACGAAGACGAAGTGGCGAGGAAAAAAAACAGGGGTGCGTTTGTGGACTGTACAAGATGTCACTTGACAAGGGTTTTTTTTTTCCTAGTTAAAATACAAAACTTTTTAAAAATGAGTCCTCGATCTATGTCTCTGTTCCAACTCCCTTCCCAGATTACTCTTGGTAGCGTCTTATGACATCTTATTATCTCATTCCTACTTTGGACAAACTGGCAGGTTACCGAATGTAGCCTGCCCACACGGCAGAGTCTGATAAACTCCCCGTGGCGTCCCCAATATGCCAAATACCAGTAACAATGATGGGTCTCATTCTCCTAAAGAGCCTTAAATATAATCTCGGGGCCAGGATGAAGGAGACGTTACTGGGGCCTGCTCGGGGCAATCGACGATGATTAACAGCGTCTTAAAAGCAACCTTCACCTGCGGTGTAAAGAGCTGGAGGAGGGGTGGGTGACGAACAACTCTGCTCGCCGTTCTCTGGCTCCCCGGGCCCATCGGGGATATTCTAAGAGTCCCAGTGTCCGGAGACTTAAAAACTCTAGCTTAAGGGTTTGGAACTAGGAACCGCCAGGCAATTTCGTAGCAAACATTTTCCTCTAGCCGGCCGAGCAGTTTTAAAAAGCCAGTTGTTAGGCTTGTGCATCTCCAACTCGTCAAATGTTACGCAGAAGAGCAACAAAGCACGTTGGGAGAAATGAAGTTTTTCCCTCCCTGGAGCAGTTGGGCTTCAGGACTCCAGCACTGGCAGTGACTCGAGGGCGCCCTCTGTTGCTTAGAAAACGAAGAGCTCCTGTGCTCAGGAACGTGCAGGTGGGGGCAGGAAGGTCGGACGGTGGGGGAGGAGTGAGGGAAGGTGAGCGAGCGCCCTACCCGCTGCAGTGCCTCTGCAGCTGCGAGACAGAAGAAACGTTTTACTGTTGGCCTTTGTTAGCAAGATTCGCTGGGGAAAGTGTTCCTATTCCAAGTCCTTTCAAAAAGGCATTTGCCAGTATTCAACTTATTTCACCGATGATATTAGCAACTGGGAGAGTGAGTTTTTGCTCTGATAGAATTAATCCAATACTGCTGATGTGATTATCAGCAGATAACAGCGCCCACCGCCCCACCCCCCAAAAAGTCACGTCTCGGGGCAACTTGGAGGCTATTATTAAGCATATTATGGATGTGCACAGGGCTCGGATTATATCTTGGGCAGTGAAAGAAGGCGTGTTTACCACTTAAATCGCCGTAATAGGTAATGAGTAAGTAATGAAATCACCAAAAAAAATCACAAATCATCCTGTTAATCCTCGATTGCCTCGAGCAGGCCCCAGTAACTCTCCTTCATCCTAGCCCCGAGATTATATTCAAGGCTCTTTAGGAGAATGAGACCCTTCATTGTTACTGGTATTTAGCATATTGGGTACGCCACGGGGAGTTTGCCAGACTCTGCCGTGTGGGCAGGCTACATTCGCTAGCCTGCCAGTTTGTCCAAAGTAGGAATGAGATAATAAGATGCCATAATAGGATGTCGAAGTAATGAAAAGTCGCGACGAAAAGCAGATGGGCTGGCACATGGGCACCCTCCTGGAGGAGCCTGATGCCCTGGACACCCATAAGGCGCCCACTGAGTGCAGCTGCCGTCACCGGGGCTCCGCTTTCACCAAACACAGGGCCGTGTTACAGTGTTACACATTGTAACACACACACGCAACGTTGTGTACCACGGCAGCAGCAGCGTAGTCCAGCCGCTGGGAGATGCTGAGCATGCCACAAGGCTCTTGCATGTTGGATCCCACACTCCACACCTGCTGACAGCGTGCCAGCCCGTGCCACTCTCACGGCCTCTCAACGCACAGGCGGTGCTTCACGTGCAACAGTCCCTCTCTGGGCAGCACACTGAGGTTATCTCGTTTATTTTTTTTTTCCTTTTCTTTTTGGATCCAGCCCGTTGCTCACTTAGAAACTGACCTGCCTCCCAACCCCTCTAATGAGACTATGAAAATCTCTGCTGGAGCCACGCGCGACAGCAAAGCGAAAAGTTTTAATCGCGCTGCACGCACTCGAAAGTCGCCCTCCTCGTTCATCTAACTGCGCAAGAGCCCACCGCGTGGACCCGCGCCCGCTCCGAGCCTTCGCCTCCGCCTCCGGGGCGGCCAAGGTGGACTGCAGCCTAGCCCACCTGCCGGCCAGCGCCGGCCGCTCCGGGAGCCGGGCCACGTGCTCCGAGCGCGGGCAGCAGCGCTCCGGCCACCCGGCGCGCCGCACCTCGGTCCCGCGGCGGGCGGGCGGGCTCAACCCCGAGCCGCATCCCGCAGGGGCGCCCCCTTCCCTGCAGGGGCCGAGCGAGTGGGCAGGATGTGCACGACTTTTCTTTTTTTTTTTTCTTTTTTGCAGACCCTGCAGGGACGTCGAAGCCGGAAACCCCGATCCCAAGCGGGGTCCAAGGCTGGTTCCTCTCCCAGGCCGGCCAGTACCCAGCGCACCCACCCCCCGTTCCTAGGGGCCCCGAGGAAACAGCCCAGCGTGCGGAGAGGCGTGAAGCGGCGGGAGCGGCGGCGGCGGCGGCGGCGGCGGCGGCCCCGGGCCCGCCCCGGGCCCCCGCCGCCGCGCGGACCCGAAAGTGGGCGGGCGCGGGACTCGAATTACACGCCGGGGGCGGGCCGAGGCGCGCAGGCGGCCCCGCGAGTGGCGGGCGGCGCCCAGCGGGCCCTCGCTCGCGGCCAATCGGGAGGCGGGGCGGGGCGCGCGCGGGGGCGGCGGCGGCGCGGATTGGCGGGCTCCGCGGGGGGCGGGCCGGCAGTGCGCGGCTGAGATTGAGCGCAGCTCGCCGGGCGGCCGGCGGCTGCAGCGGGGGCTGGGCGCGCCCGCACTCGCTCCGCGCCCGCCGGGCCCACGCGCTCGGGGATCGGGGGGTTCGGGGCGCCTCGCTCGGGGCCTTTGTGCCTCCTCCGCTCCCGCTCCCGCTCCTTCCCTCCCGCCATGCCGCCGCGCCCCGCCGCCGCCGCCGCCGCCGCCCCGCTCCGCCCGCCGCGCGCCGCCCGCTGCGACGCTGGCGGCGGCGGCCCGACCCCGGCGCGGGCCTGAAGGAGGAAGAGGAGGAGGAGGAGGCGGCCCCCGGCCCATGCCGCAGCCACGGCCGCACGCCGCCGTCGCCGGAGCCCTGCATGGACGGGCATGGGCCAGCGGGCAGCCCCGTCCCGCGCCGCCGCCGCCGCCGCCGCCGCCCCGGCCCCGCCGCGCCCGCGCCCGCAGCTCCGCCCGCCGCCGCCGCCGCTGCTGCTGCTGCTGCCGCTGCTGCTCGGCCTCGGGCTGCCGCACGCAGGTAGGCGCGGGGCCGCCGCGCCCGGCCTTTGTCCCCGCACGCGCGCACGCACGCCGGCACGCACGCCCGCCCGGACGCCCCGCCCCGCCCCGCCGGCGCCCGCCGCACCCCGAGGCTCGCGCGGAGCCGGAGCGGCGGGGTCCCCCCCACCCCCATTCCCAACTCCCCCGGGCCGGGGGCGCGAGCGCGGGATGCGCCGGCGAGTTTGCAGCCGCCCGCGATCGGGCTCGGAGTGGGGGGCGCCCAGCGGCTGCCCCGCGCGCCGGGCTCCGCGGTGCGAGCCGAGAAAAGCCGCTCGGGCGCCAGCTCCCGGGCTCGGGATGCAGCTTCCCGGGGTCTCCCGGGGGGCGCGCGTGGCCCGGTGCCCGGCGCCGGGGGTGACAGGTCCGCCCTCCCTCTCCTCCCGGGTGAGCGGGAGCCCCGCAAAGGCGCGCCCCTCGTCTCGGTCCTCTTTTTTGGCCCGGCTGCAAACGCCAGGCCGGGCAGAAACGGCCTCTTGCATCTCCCGAGAGCTGCCCGAGGGTTGCGTGGTGTCCACTGCAGGGCCTTCTGCCTCCCGTGCTGCGCGCGGGACAGCGGCCACCACTCCCAAGTCCTGGGCTCCTGGGCTCCGGCCCGCCGGGGACGTTTTTCTTCTCGAAGCCTGTTGGCATCAAAGTCAGGGAGAGCTTGATGGGAGGCGTTGGAGAAGACCCCCCCCCCCACACACACACACACATACCCCTACCTTTTCTTGTTTTGCCTTTTGTGTCACTTCTGCGGTGTGACAGTGCCTTGTTCATACTGTCACTTAGAGGAGGCTGAGGTCCTAATCAGTGGTCATCTCAAGTTTTCCCAGGGTTAAGGTTTGGATTGGGGGGTGCTGTCGGAACCTTAGGATATGTGCTCCTCCTGCTTACGGCTGTCTGGGAAATACTTCCATGAATTGTCCAAAGAGACGGTGGCGTATTTTTCTTTTCTGTTTTTTTTTTGGGGGGGGGGGGGGGTTAAAGTCTGTGCGCGTTTCTTGCAATGGGATTGAGAGGCCCGGAGTGCTGTTCTCTTTCTTTCCCACTTACCTGATTGATTTTGGGCTGTGCTGGTGGGATTGCACTGTGTGATCCTTGGGATCCTTCCCTCGCCCAGGGAGGGAAGACAAAACGAGCTCTCAGAGTGGTTTGGGAAAGTTAGGTGCCTAGGTTCAGGAGCTAGAAATGTGGGACTCTTCTCATTAGCTTAACATCCATTTCCCACCCCAAGCCCCCTTGGATCCTGCCTGGCATCATGGAGATGGAGATAGAATCCTGTGATTGTGCCTCTTTCCCCCCCCCCCCCCCCCCAGTCGAGGGTTAATGTGACTGAGAGTGAAAGGGAGGAAGACCAGGGAGGCTGCCTCCAGAAAGTCGTCTTTTGAATGCGGGCCCTGCATCTTGAAGCAGGGAGCCCGCCGGCCCTCTCTGCAGATGGGCTAGCATATGTTTTATGTCTGGCTCCATATAATCTGCATTAGTACCCCCTCTGGCCCCACGTCTCACTTAACTCGGCCCGATCTCATTTCTTTTCTTATAATCTGGCGATTGAGTGGCAGATTCACGCATGGCTGTTGTGCCTTTTGAGGAAACTGCCGTGAATGTGCAGGTCTGGGTCTCTGCGGAAAGCTTTTCGGCTTCACAAAGCCTTTGCCGCTTCCGTGAACTGGGAAGAGAATGGGCCCCATACACCAGGGATGATCTGAAATTGAGGCCTCTGAAATCTGCCCTGGAAAGGGAAGTGTTTTGATTTTCTTTACTTTTTTTCCTCCTTTTCTGTTTGGTTTTTGGGCCACACCTGGGGGTGCACAGGGCTTACTCCTGGCTCTGAGCTCTTGGGGGACCCTGTAGGTGCCAGGGATCAACTCCAGATCCTCATGTGCAACGCAGGCACCCTACCCACTGTCCTGCCGCTCCAGCTCCTGCTTTTCTCTTTTCCTTCCTTTCTTAAGCAAACCTCTGCAATTCCTGAATGGAGATCCAATGTGGGATACTTGCTTACTCATACACTTTGGGGCTTTGTTGGCTCCGTCCCTTCGACTGCCGCTCTGCATTGTCTTGGCATTTTGACAGCAGGCTGACTTTACCGCCCGTCACAGGCAAAGTGTGCAGTGTCATTATAAATTCATGAAGCCTGGGTATTTCTGGGTGGATGCTGCAAATTAGTCATTATACAGCAGGCTGCTGACCCCAGAGCACTTTCTCCCACCAGCGGGACCCGCTGGAAGAAAGCTGTTAGGAAACACTGATCCAAGACAGAGCTGGCCAGGCGTCCTGGGTCCCGACACTCCTTCAGGAGGGGCCCCATCTGCCAGGCAGAGCACTGGAGGTGCAAGTCTCCATTCTGTCCTGACCCTTCGGAATAATTATGCCTGCATTTCCACACTGTTCTTACTTTTGATTTTTTTACGACTATTTGAAATAATTATAAGTGAGTGTGTGCTTGGAGAGATTTTATAGACCATAAAAAGAACAAATAGGCCCAGCAAGTTTAGCGGAAAGTTCTTGTACTGTCATTTACTGTCCTGTAAGAGCCATTCGATGCTGAGTGATCTTGGCCCAGGTTTTATTTCCTTGCTTTGTGCTTGCTGTGAATCTAATTAAAAGAGGGGTGGGGGTAAAGATAGAATACTTATTTTTCAGGATACTAAGTACTGTTGTGAGACTTGGGAATTTATAGACGTGAGGATTTGAGGAAAGGAACCAGACCCTGGGCTCCACCCAGAGCGGCCAGTGGTGTACGTTTTCTCCAGGCCTTGGTTTCTCCATCTGTAAAATGGCCTTTCCAGGAAGAGAGCCTCTTTTTTTTTTTATGAATAACTGGAAATGACTCGGGAATTGAAGTTGTGTTTGTCAGCTTTGAAATAAGCAAACATAAAATGAGAGTGTTTTTTAACATAAGTGGAACTGGAGGGTATAAAAAAAAATGAGAGTGTTTTATGAATTTTATTTAGTGCACTTTAATGATAGCTACAGCTATAAATGTATAACTGCAAATTATTTACCTATGTTAATCTTGTCTTCCTCGGCTTAAATTCAGTATTCTGTTTTTCAGTCTTTGATTATTGAAATTTAAATATTGCGTGGAGGGAGAGCGTTGTTGCTGGCCTCTGGGGAAGCTATCAACCCCCACCCACCTTCGTCTCTCCCGCTGGAGCCAGGAACAGTCACAGGGAATTTAATTCAGATTTTAAAACAATTTGCTACTGAAAGGGATAAAATATCTCTTGCCCGAGATACTGGGAATAGCCTGAAGTCTTTATCAGATAAAGTTCTAGGTCTTGATATTATCCCAAAGTTTATTATGCCCATGTATTGAAATAATTATACATTTGATGGTCCTCGGCTGAGTCTCACTTGTAGAATGGATTATAAATACTCTCATGCCTGAAGAGGACCGTTTATTTTGGAATGACCTTCTTGCTCCCCAGGTGAGGCCTGAAGACTTGGAGAGGCGAATCCTGACCCCTGAAATCAGAGCCTCTTCAACAGGATTGTAGAGCTGAGTTCAGTTCTTAAAAATATTGTTTTGAGATAAGTCTCTTTATGATACCAGTGAAGATTTAGTGTTTATATGTATTTTATGCGTGCATATAATAGCCAAGGTCATGTAAAAATTTCTTGGGCAAAAATGGGTCACAAGTACAAGCAAAATACAAGCAGCAGTGGTCCAGAGATCACTTGAGTGTTAAACCAAGGTGTGGGAGTTCACGTCTATAAAACTGGAGGTGAATGACACAAGCATTTTCCTCTCCTGTGATTTTATTGTTCTCAGTGGATTAAGAACAGAAATCCTATGCTAATTAGAAGAGAAAGGCTTTGCCGTTTGAGGCACGCAACTGGACTGCTGCTGGAGTTTCTTTTGCTTTGAGGAATTTGATAAATTCTTGTCTGAGAAGCAAGTGGCCAAACTTCAGAAAACTGACTTTTATAGTAGTAGAATTTTCTTCACTTTTTTTTTAGCTTTGTTTAATAACTTATAAAAAGTTGTTGATCTAAAAGGGAAAAGTCAAGTTTCTATATATTAAAAGAATTTGGGGGCCAGAGAGATGGTTCAGTGGGCAGGACATTTACCTTGCACATTACCAACCTGAGTTTCATCCCTCACACCCGATACGGTCCCCCCAAGTCTTACCAGGTGTGATCCCTGAGCTCAGACCCAAGTATATCATCCCTGATAACTGCTAGTGTGACCTGAAAACCAAAAAAGAATAATTCTGTACCTTGAAGTGTGTGGTTTTAGTTCTTAGAAACACTGTACGTATCGGTCTCTGCAAGATAATGTCATCATCCTTTCCTGCGTCCTGTGGCTAGGATGCTTGGTAACCTTACAGGGAGAGCAGAAGAGGGGAAGGAGGAAGGAGGATGTCCACAACTTGGCCAAAGGAATCATCACCTTTTTGAAGGGCCTGTGGGTCAAACCTAGGCCAGGCTGTGTAAGAGTCCCACCTCCGCTTTGCAAGAAAAACTTTAGAATCTTGGGAAGGGAGCTGGATGTATTTACTATTCCTAGCTGAACATCCCTGAGGAAATGTTGCATGCATTTTCCTTGCCCTGTTTTTTACTCTGGAACCATGGTAGAATCTTTCTAGAATTCAGGGCCCTCACCCACCCCCAACACACCAGACACGGAGGCCTTGTCTGCAACTGGGCTCAGGCAGCAGTTTCCGAAGCAGATGACTTGCATGAATTTTTAAATACAGAACAAGTGCACGTGTTTGCTGCAGCCTTACCCCCAAAGACACCTCGTGAGATCTGTCTGCAGGGGTGCGGTCCTGGACGTAGTTGGTTTCGTCTCCTTAGAGCTCTGGCCTGTGCAGGGTCCCAGCTTTGTTTTCTCCTGCTGTGGTGCCAGTGTGACGTGGCCACAGCTGGCTGCATATACATCTTCCTGGGGCTTCATCTGAAAAGGCCGCGGGAGCCCACACCAGCCTATTCCATAGGGCGACTCGGACAGAGAGAAGTTACGGTTCCCAGAGGAGCCGATCTTCTGGTCTTGCTGGGACTCCGCAAGGGTCTGACAACCGTTCCATCTCCTCTTCTCTCCCCCAGGCCACTGCCAGCAGCCTGCCCAGTGTCGGATCCAGAAGTGCACCACGGACTTTGTGTCTCTGACCTCGCACCTGAACTCCGCCCTCGACGGCTTCCACTCCGAGTTCTGCAAGGCCCTGCGTGCTTATGCTGGCTGCACGCAGCGGACGTCCAAAGCCTGCCGGGGCAACCTCGTGTACCACTCCGCAGTGCTGGGCATCAGCGACCTCATGAGCCAGAGGAACTGTTCCAAGGACGGACCCACGTCCTCCACCGACCCAGAGGTGACCCATGATCCTTGTAACTATCACGGCCCAGAAGGGGCCAGAGAACACAGAGGCGGGGACGAGAGTTCCCCCAATTACCTTTTTTGTGGTTTGTTTGGAGATCCTCACCTTAGGACATTCAAGGATCACTTCCAGACCTGCAAAGTGGAAGGGGCCTGGCCGCTCATTGACAATAATTACCTGTCGGTTCAAGTGACAAACGTGCCGGTGGTCCCTGGATCCAGTGCCACCGCGACTAATAAGGCAAGTCTCCGCCTTGCATTCTCCTCTGTTGGCCCAGCCCCTGTGTCTGACTCCCCACTTTGTGTATGGGTGGGGCGGGGGGGTGGGAGGCTACTAGGGACTGGTCTTGGGCCCTCTCAGAAAAAGCATTAAGGGGTCTGATAAAAGAAGGAATGAACATTAGCTAGGAAGGAAGTTCTCTTTGGAATTCTGGGGCTTGTGTGAAACGAGGCCTTGAATTCCAGTAGACAGGGCTATGACAGAAATGAGAAGTGAGCATTGTGAGGTTGGATTCTTACGGGGCGAGGTGGGCTTTTGTAGCACGAAACAAAAAAACGCATGCCCTGTTTGAGTTCCCGTTTGCATTTCTTCCCTTTGGAGTGTGACTCCTCTTAAAGAAATCCTTGGTGGGTGGGTGTTCTGAATCGGTTGGAAGTGGCTGAGCTGACATGGGGACATGGCAAGCCACAGTGTCATGGTCCTTGCTGATCTCACAGTGACCAGGAGTCCCGAGGGGCCGCAGCAGACACTGGTGTCTGCGGCCCGCTGGCATCAGGTTGGAAATTGACTTGGTTCTGTCCTGCTCTGCCCTGCCTACCTGGCAGTACATCTGGCCCTGTCTGTTCTAAATAGTCCCAGAGAAAGCGCCGTCTCGGCCATTTGGCCAGCCTGGAGTGCCAGTGTTTTCACCCAAGGGCCTGGAGAAAAGCTGGGAGTCGATGTGAGAGGCCAGAGGGCTTCCCACAAAATACTGTTCCATGGGAGCAGCCTCCCCTCCCTGCTGCTACCAGAAAATCACATGCAGGGCATCTTACCAGGCTCAGTGTCCTTGTTTCTTTGAGCTCCACTTAAGCTGGCTTTTTAGTCTAAAAACGAAAAACGCACGAATGAAGTGGTGTCACACCTTGCCCTGAGCACCACCGCACCAGCTTATCTTCACAGTGAATTGAAATGATTTCACTTGGCATTTTGTGGAAGGAACGTTACAGGTTACAGCACCGCTCGAGATAGCAGGAGACACCCAGGGGTGTCAGAAATGCCAGAGGCCAAATCAGGGCTCTGGACAAAGAGCACTGTTGCTTTAGTCCCACTTCCTGGGGGAACTCCAAAATGTTTACACTTCAACACCCTGGGAAGCCCGGTCTTATCTTCTGCCTAACAAAATTCTCCTTTCCCAAACTTCCCCCTTTTATTTTTGATTTTTAGAACAATACAAACAATTCTTCGTGTCTGCACACTGACATACCTGCTGCCATTTATGTTACAAAGTTTCCTGGTGAAGCAAGCTCAGGCCATGTTATCCCCCAGTGCTCCTTGGGCTTCCAGAACAAAGCCTGTAGCACTGAGAACCTCCCCCCAAAGGAGAGTTCTACTGAGAGTGGAAAGAACCCGAGATGGCCGTGCTGATCCCTAGGGGCTTGCAAAGAGCACCTTTGAGCAGTACTGTTGGGATTCCAGAGGGCAGTGCGTGTAGGGAAAACACAAGGATTATGGGGCAGGAGCCATAGTTCATGGAACGTTGCCAGGCTTGATCCCTGAGTACAGCTAGGTGTGGCACTAAAACCAAAACAGCAACCACAGGGATATCTCTTGGGTTCCTCTCACAAGCCCAGGCATATTTTCTCCTCTCCTCCTGTCGAGTCACGTGTTACTGGTCTGTTTGGCGCTTGACCCTCCGAGTTCTACTCTTGACAAACCGTGGTGATAGTTGGAGAATGGGCTAAAATGAATGAGTTGAAGCAGGCGCTTTCTAGCACCCGTTTAAGTTGTGGTCAGATCACTCCGAAGTTTTAGCCAGCAGAAAGTGGATCTGAGTTTCCTCCCTCAGCCCTTTTGGGTTCAAAGGTTTCTACCCGTTCCAAAAGTGGGGCCCAGGGGAGACTGTCTCTGACATCAGTTAGAGTGTTCCCCGCATCTGGTGGCCATGCCGCGCAGTAACGAATGACTCCTCGTGACCTCTAGTAGCTGTTTTTCTTCCTTCTTTTTCTAACTCTGAAGCCCTCAAAGCATCTGGAGGCTCACCGTGGAACGCCTTTCTCCGTGCTAGCGTGACGTGTGCCCGGGAAACCACGCCAAGCAAAGGCCTAAAATTTTGCCACGCAATTTCCTTTTACCAGGACCAAAATAAAAGCTTCAGAATTCTCAGCAGTGAACACGAGTATGGTCATAAAGATAATTTTGAAAGAAAAAAAGATTTGGCAGCAAGGACCTATGAGATCAGTTCTCCCAGATGTCTAATCCGCGCCCCCCCCCCCCGTGTTTATTGAAATTCCTTTAAAAAGAAATTTTTTCTTTTTCTTTCTTTTTTTTTAATACAAGTTTTGGCTCTGCTGGGATCATATCTATAGACTGTTGGGTGAGGCAGCTGCGGGGTCAGTCTGTGGTCCAGTTCCTTTCCCACCAAGGCTTCAGGCCATCGGTGGCACCACTGCGGCCCCAGGGTACCGGGAATGGGCCTCTGGGACAGGCCAGCTCTGCCTACCCCGGGCCCTGAGCGAAACCAGCCTTTCCCCTCCCAGAGAGACACGGCAGAAGCAGGAGGAGAAAGGCAGGTGCTGTGTGCTCCGAGGCCCATTAAGGGCTGGCCACACCTTTGCCTCTTTCCACGGGCCAGGAGGGCAGCTCGGTATCCAGTGCTCAGCCTCGTGGCTTGTTACCCTGCTTCTGCTTTCTCTGCCGCCTCCTGGGAAACTAAGGTCTTGGTTGTGGGGTGCCGAGAAGGCATTTCTGAGGGCAGCGGGGTGTTTCACAGGTTCCTGCAGGAGCAGCCAAGCCCCTCTGTGGCTCTCCTCCAGTCAGGCTGGTGAGTGGGAAGGAGCGGGCAGCGTTCAGCTGGCAGCGACGTCTGCGGAGCAGAGAGCAGCGCCGGCCCCTGGGCCTGACCCAGGAGTGAGCACGCTCTGTGGGGCAGGCCTGACTCTGGGCTGACTCTTCCTGCCCCGCAGGGTGGCTGCTGTTCCCCCCCCCCCCCCCCCCCCCCGCCTCTAGGGGAGCTCGGGAGACGGGCATCTGTTTCTGTGAGCGCAGAAAGTATTTTGGAGAGTAGGTTTCGGCATTTTCCGGCAGGATTTTGGACTGTGTAAGTGGTTTCCCTGATAGGGACATTAAAAAAATCTCTGGTCTCTCGGGGGCCTTTAAGAAGATGCTTTTCCAGACAGCGTCAGGAATATATTTTATTGCACCCGCCCGATGATGGGAATATTCCAAAGTGTTCCTGTTTACAAGTGGTTGGATACTTTCACTTTATGTTTTCCTCCTGTTTCCCTGGCCGCTCCCGCCCTTCCCCAGCACCCTCCTTTCCTGAACCTTCAGTCGTTAAACAGAATCAGAAGCGGGCGGGGAGATGGGGGTGACTGCGGGTCCCTTTATAGAGCCACCACGGACTCCCCGCCCTGTCCCCGTTTGGGTGGAAACCAGCCGTTGCCTCTGGCCTGCGCCCATCCCAAGTCAAGGAGAGGCCTTGCCACCCCGCCCACGTATGTTTAAAAGCCTCTAACAAGGGTTCGAGCCCTGCGCTTTGAACTGCCTGGGCGCGTGCATCACTGTGCCCTGCGAGAGCCACAGAAAGACGCGCGGGTTCCCAGGCCAGTGGCCTTAACCCGCCTGGCTCCTGCCTCGGGGCGCCCGCGCCTCTGAGCCCAGAGAGGCCGGAGGGTTCGTTCTCAGAGTTACGAGAAGCGACCCTGTGCCGTGCCCAGAGCACAGACAGGGCTGCCGTTCTCTGCTGCTCTTAGCACTTAGCTACTGTTCCAGGATGGCACGCGGGCACAGAGAAGTGTTCTGGATCTTTCTCTCGGTTCCCGAGTCAGAGCCAGACATGCCCGCATTGCCGCCCTTCCAGCTCATTCCACCTCTCATTTTAAGCCTCTCACTACATCAGGGTTTGGAAATGCAGCCTCCCTTGACCTCAGGCTTTCTTTCTTTCTTTTTTTTTTTTTTTTTTTTGGTAGCCACTGTTTTATAACCTGTTACGCTTTTATTCTCTTTATGGGCAAGGTATCAGCATCACATTGGCACTTAGGGGAGACTTTTCACGAGTTTGCATCGTTTCTGACCTCGTTTTTCTTGCCTGCGGTGAGGGACGGGCGCCCTTTTCTTGGAGAGCAGGGCAGAGGGCACAGACGGTCTGGCAGAGACACGGGGGCTGAGTCTTCATCCAGGATGGCCCTTTGTTCTGGGCCCGCTGTCTCCGCCAAGCACCCTCCTTCTCGCCCTCCGAAGGTTCCCAGCAGAGCTGAGGCTCGACTGGCCAAGGCCTGCTGCCGCGGGAGGCAGGAAGCGTTTGTGCTTGGCTCAGTGTCTCTGCAGAGCTGTGGGGCTTGTCGGGGCTGTGTCTGGCTTCAGTCCCGGGGGTGTCTGCAGTGCAGGGGCGAGTGCGCTCCCCGCCTCGGCCCCCAGCACCCACACACCAGGTGCAGAGTCCCGGTGTAGGTGGAAGAAACTTCCTTCTCCGAAACCAGTGCAAGGCTCGGAGGCCTGCTCGGGGCGACACCTTAGCTGGTGGCAGCCCCCGTCAGTCACAGCTGCTCCTGAGTGCGGCCACTTAGCCGCAGGTCTCCGTGGCCAGGAGGGTCAGGAGGGAGGCCCAGAGAGACGCCACTCGCCCGCAGCCCCTTGGCCTTGCCGTCGCTTTCAGCCCTGTGCCTGGCACCGCCTTGCTCGGGCCGCCTCGCCTCACTTCCTTCTTGCCCGACTCTTTCCGGCTCCTTCCAGCCGCTGTCCCGGCTGCCGAGAGGCCCGAGGACCGGGTGGGAGGTGTTCGGTCTTCGATGGGGCCTCCAGAGCGGCCGAGCCTCGGACTCTCCATTGCTTGTGGCGGGGCCTGTTCCTTCCTGGGGCCCCGGCTCGTCTCCCGGCCCCCCTCGCCCCGGGCAGAGCCGATGCCAAGCAGGCCGCCCTCTGCGGAGGGGCGGGAGTGGGCAGTGAGGCCCGCTGGCCCCGTTCCCGTTTGTCCTCCCTGGCATCCCGCGGAGCTCCTGTTTGTGCTGGATTCTGAAGTCTCAGGCCCAGGAACTTGGCTT